TCTATACAGGTAGAAAAAAGTTTGACTTTCGAACTTACCAGTGTGCCAGAGCCTCGTTCGGCTATTTGCACTTATTGGTGGGGTTCTATTTCTACATGAATCTAGGGCCAATGAAACATTTTTTCTTCAGAAAAAAAAAGTTTAATGCGGGATTCGATCCCGAGTCATTGCTGTCGTGAATCGGCGGTTTATGCTACTCCCCCACCGACACGCTTGTTCGGCGGTACATATACTAAAATTGGAACGATACAGAGAAGATTAGCATGGCCCCTGCGCAAAGATGACACGCAAAATCGTGAAGCGTTCCATACTCCCCCACCGACCAACAAACGTTGCGGTAAGTTATTTAAAGGTAATTAATATTAACATATTATAGCGCACAAACTCCTTTTTTTTTTTAATTAAAATATTTAAAAACTTAAAGAAACTGTGAACCGAAAGGGCATTTCTTCTGCTCAGAATTTCATTAACACAAGACATTTTCTTGGTCCTCAAATCTCATAGATTCGTTTCGATACATTTCCCACAAATACAACATTACCTGCTACCATTTATGACCTTCATCCTATAGTTATTAGAGACAACTGCACGCATTTGTAAATAAATGAATTGTCTAGAATTCAATAAATACGTGCTTTTATATTTTAGTTCATTTTTTTTTACCATGCCTATCAAACAATTCAGTGTATGAGACTAATTGTATTAATTAGGTTTTCGTGGGTTTTCATCAGCATTATTATCAATAAATACAATTAGCTTTTACTTTTTACTCTTCTCCCTGTGACTCTGTGTTGAATCAATGTGTAAGACTTTATGTCTTAATAAATACCTTTCTGTTTATTTTTAGAAATATAAAAGCCTTTCTGTGTGTTTGTGTATGAAGTCAATAAACAAGGTCGTAAAAAGGTCAAACTTACCTATGACACAGGTTTCGAACAGTAAGTGAAGGGTTTTGTTCTGTACATGTATTTCACTTATCCAAAACTTAATCAAAATAGTACAGGAGAACAGATATAACAAATAGTGATTGCAAATACAAATTTGACAAGCGGATTTCTAGACAAGCAATCGATTTCTGATCAAAATGACGCTTCGGTCGTGAAAAAAATCTAAGTCAGTTTTCACTGTTTGCTAATTTTTAAATAGTTTTAAAGTCTAAATAATCGTACCTTTTGTAAAAACACTCATTGACAAAACTCAAGGAGGTTAAACCTTTTATTAATTATGTCTCAATGCAATATTTTTGTGCATAGTGAATTTCATACACGACTGCACCAGCATTTTTTTAATAGGATAATTTATTATTAAATTAAAAATAAAAGAAAAATCTGCATTTTCGGTGATATTAAATCGTATAAAATAGAAATGTATGGCCCTCAAAAAATGAATAGTTATTATGATTTACATATTTCGCGTACAGTGAAAAAAATATCTTTGAAAATTTATTTATAATTTGTTAGAAATGGATGAAACCAATTATCAAAAGATATTTTCAAAACAATAATAAATGAAATTATATTTCGAAATATAATAATTCAAATGTATAAATCTTAAGCACAAAAGGTCAAAGAATATATCTTATATAGATAGCATTCCTGGAGTTTTAGACCACCAAGGTCTTATAGATTTTACAAGAAATAAGTCCATCTTCCTCTAATTACAGAGCGCTCTTCGTTTTAAAAAAGCCGAAAAGAAAGAAAGTAGCAGATAGGCGGACAATGAGCACACGGTCTCCTGCAGCAACACCTACAAAAACTCTGTAATAACATCAGCAGCTTCTTGTTCTTTCTCAACCGTTTACTCTTTTTTTACCGCCAAATTTGAAGATATTTGAAGGAAAGTTATTTCTCGTAGTAAATTACTTTTTTACACATTTGTTCTTATTTCTCAATTTTCGAGATATATATATTTTGTAACCCGTTCTTCTCTTTTTGTTGCATTTTTGACGTGTTGACATTAATTTAATTCCATCACCTTTATTAAGACGTATAGTCACATATACATAGGTTTGCCTTAATTAAAAAAATCAAAGAAAATGAGGAAAGTTTGATATTTACACTAATATATTAATACAGATTATATATAATGGGAACTGAAGATATCCTAGTTCACATATCTTTTATCTTACCATTAATACATTTCATTTTTATAGCGGCCTCATAAAATTGATGATATATTTTTTTAAATATTTTGTTGATCGAGGAAGAAGCGAGACGTGTTGATAAATGGGGGCGTTTGTAGCATGGGACAGACAGTGAAGCCATGAGTCAACCTGCTCTGAATTACACTTCCGCACAACTGAGTCAGAACACCATCCTTCAGCAAAAATTAAGTTTTAAAACCTCACAGAAGTTATATGGTGACCGACTCTGTACAGTCTAGGTATGTGCTCTCGCCATGGAACGATTTATCTATAGGACCGTTGTTGCCGACATTCCGGTTGTTTATGCCCTTGTAAGATATTTATAAGATCCATAAGTTATTACTTGCGCTATCAGCTGCGAAGAATTTTATCGATTTGAATACAAGTTGTATTTTGGAGTAGTCGGTTACAGTTTAAATAAGTAAGGTAGAATATATTCTCAGTATAGCTCGAAATGTCCGTTACTCAATCTTGCAATAAGTATTTGTTGTCTCTTTTGGATGATACTTGCCCTGCTGCTCCAGCTGTGATTTGGTGAAATATTCTAAATCGATATTCCGAGTTCAGAGTTATTTTATTATTCTACATGTAAGTGGCAAATTATTTGTGAGAGTTCTTCGTGTACCTTCTTTTTCGGGTTGTTCGGCGGTATGCTTGTACGGCTTGTACGCTTGTTCGGCGGTACATTAACTCAAATTGGAAAGATAGAGAGAAGATTAGCATTGCCCCTGCGCAAGGATGACACGCAAAATCGGGAAGCGTTCAATATCCCTGATAAATTTATGTTTGTTTTTAATTTACTTTCCTGAAAGGTTTACTCGCTATATATCTTCTAATAAAGTATAATTATATAGGTAGCTAGAGTGTTAATCCATGCATGGGCTGGTATGTATAAGATATTTTAATTTGGATACACCTTAAATAATATAAAAAAGAAAGCAAATAGAATTTAGTCAATCTATGGAATGTGTTAAACTCTTACATTCTGAATTAATTTCAGATCTATTCCCTTTGTTATTTTTTTAGCAGCTAATATTTCACAAAGAGTTTTAGCTTTCAAAATTTTAATGAATAATAATGAAAAATATTATTTATACATGTATGTATAATGCGATTTTCTTCCTTTCTTTAAAAAGATCACTTCGAAAAACTTCTTGCTTGTTTCAGCAAAATGTTTTTTATCCGTTGATAGAAGTTCAGTGAAATCTCCCCCAGTAGTTACCCATCCATCTTGTGAGCGATCAGTTTGTTACAGTGACAAGCTTCAGCAAGAGACCAGGAGAGCCTACGACGGTCTGTCGTGTTCACCAAGAGGTTTCCAGAGATGTGGGGAGAAGGAAGCACGGACGTCAGGAAGCCGGAAGCTGACCTGCCCCAAGCCACTAAGAGCGGCCAAAAAATCATAATCGTAAAAAGGCAGTTAATTATTTGGTTTGCACCCCAGGGCACCCGCTGGGAAGGGGATTTCAAGGCGATTCTCTTCTTTCACGATGTGTGAGGAAGTGAATCTGCGGATTTAATTTGGGCCTCGTTGCTTTGTGTTTTCTTCCTTTTATTGTGGCATCTTTAATGCATGTCCCGGGAAAACGTGTTTACCTCACAAATTGGAAACTTCCGTTCTCTCCCACACCTAATTTTGGCCCTGTTTGACATAACGTAAGATATAATTTGGACAATGCTGGAAAACGGAAATGTCTTCATTCCTTGATTAAATCGTAATTCGAATTTTTGGTCACGTTTATTTCAGTCTATAGAATATGCAAACTTATTGTGCAGATTCTAATTAAAATAATGGTTCTTAGGAGAACTAAAAAAATAATAATTTACCTATTGCTCTTTACGTAATCATATTTAGAAAATCCTAGTTTTTTTTAATGTGAAATATTTACCAATATTTATAAATATATTTACCAACAACACTCCTTAGGATGAAAAATTCGTGAATCAATAAATAACTAATCTTTCGCCGTAAAATTTTAAAATCTAAGTACGACTTTTTTTTTTTTAACTTTAAAATGCATATGCATTTTACCTCTTCACAAAGCTCGAGTAAATTTCAAACTTTTTTCGCTCTTATATTTATACCTAGTTGTAAATTAAGGATTTCTAGATCTTCAAATGTGGTTGGTCAAAGTTTGGAGCAGCTGAGGTTATAGTTGTTCGACCAGTGGCAGGCTGAGCGGCCCCCAGCCACGGATCTCCACAGACAATACCCGGTATGTAATGAGGAGATGAGAAGGACCCTCCAGAAAGCAAAACACAATGTCCCAACCCACCAGGAAACTATTAGAGAACTCTTCGTTATAGATAAGGAACATTTCCCTAATTGATAAGGTATTCTGATTGTCTCTTTCCACTTTCCATGGCAGAATTAATTCCACGTTATCGCTTCCTCACTTCCAGGAATTTCCTCTTAGCAAGTTTGAATATGAAAGTGGATTTTCAAACTCCATTCTAACGAATGACACCTCCAACATGTCTCTCCACTGTTGCACTGAATGCCAACATTTGCACTACGCTGAATATACTTAGCTATGAATACGATACCGACCGACCAAATATGGCGGATACTGGTTTCCCTATTGAGAGAATCAAGTGGACGACGCTGCAACATCATAAAGCCAACCTATGGCGGCTTGCAAGCCTTTGTTTTTAAGAAGGAAACCCACGGATAATATTTTGAAAAGTGTCTGTAAATATCTCTGGATTACTTTTAGTTAACACATCATAAATATATCTACTTTGATATTATATAATTATATTTTTTTCTCATAATATTTCTCTTTTGGAAAGAAAATATGTATTTATAGAGAGAAAATGGTTTTACGGGCTACTAACCAAAGTGTGAAAAGGTAATAGCCTACAGCACGCCGTGTTACTAGGTGGTCACCCTCCCAAATACTGCCGGGCCTACATTGCTTAATTTCGGTAATCGGACGAGAACCGATGTTTTCAATGTGGTATGGCCGTAGGCCAAAAAAAAAAAAAAAAAAGACGCCCGAGCAGGGGCTCGAACCCTGGACCGTTAGGTTAAAAGCCTAACGCTCTACCGACTGAGCTACCCGGGCATATAAAATATATAATCAATATTGATTGTGTGTGTTACTCTCTCTCTTAAATTTTAAGGTAAATCTTTCTCTCCAGATATACAAGTATAGTTACCGCTATGAAAGAACCAATATGTATATATATTTTTCAATATTTTCAGGTATTCGATCACATTTTGGATTTCTATTTCTTGAAACATCTCGAAAATAGCCTAAATCTGTTTTTAAATCTCTTTTACCGTAAAAAAAAGCTGTTTTTTAAATTTCATTTTAAAGACTTATTGTGTCATCACAAGACAATTGTTTTCTGTTTTCATATTTCAAAGCAAATATTTAAATAAGATCTTTGTTCTGTTCTAAAGTAAGTATTTACAACGATGAGAGAACATTTCAAGGAGATGCGAGGTCAAATGTTTCGTTGTTCTGCCTTCCAACACACGTGTTTACCGAGGCTGTGTAGCCAATTAAATAAAGCTACCATTGTTTTAACAATATGTTTAGCATTCTCATCTTCAGGACCACGGTATTTATTGACCAAACATTTAGAAGTAAATTGACCAGAGTCGAAGCCTCTATCTGTCTGAACCAGAATAACGATTAGAGACGTTGGTAATTAATTAGCCAATCATAGCCAAAATTATCTCATTTCAATAATGTACGAAGTGATTATAACTATTTTATTCAATAAATTATTCATCAAAATATAATAAATGGGGGCTATATTTTTGTAATTTTTCAATCCTATTTATATCTGACATGTATAGACGAATACAAATATGTAGACTACAATTACAGTAATTAAAGTACATCCGATGCCTCTCGTCTATTGCCCAATTCATCCTCATGCAGCGCCGTCAACTACAATACCGAGGTCGCCATTATGGAACCACTTCACTCGGTCAGTTATCGACACTCTTCACTCCACTCTATATCTTCACAATCTTTCACCTTGAACTACTTCTCACCTCATTTTCAAATGTACACTTCCAGTAGGTGATCAACATATCAATTTCCTGATGAGTTTCCCTATGTCCCACAATTAATTAGTAACCTTTCCTTCTATATGTCGAACTTATTTACACTTCCTGTTAGATCATTTCGACCAGCTCTGTCCAAACAACGCTCGTCAGAAGCTGCTCGCCGTTCTGTTCTTGTGAGGCTCGGGGATAGCTTCCTGATGTAAACAACATTTGGTGCAGCGTAATTGTCTTTCTAACATAATTATTATCTTGAAATAACACTTATATTTATTTAAAATTTGTTTAAATCGTTCATAAATCTCTCTTTTTTTTCACATTTAAACTCAAAATAAGAAGTGTAAAAACAACCAAAAAAAAGCTGTATTAAGACATTTCAGTCTTATACAGATTCTCCGAGTAGAAATGTAGGGTGAATGCAGGAAAACCAGTAATAATACTAGTAATAAGCATATTTAATGGTTATATGGAGTTTATATACAGAAAAACTTAATTAAGACCATCAAGCTAATAAGAAGTGTAATTGGTGATGTTTTCAAATAAATAATCGCGTGCGCATTTTTTCCCCATTATATTGGGACTTTTCGGATTTTGCCTTTTCATAAATAGTTATATAGATATAGTGGCGTATACTTTATTTTCTAGAATGTTTGCAATATACTTCTTCCACATGGGTATTTTATAACTCATAAATTTTAAAACTTTTTAGACTTTCGAGTCCATTTTGCCCTTCAAGAAATAAAAGCTTTCACTATATATACTCTTTCTGCATCTTACCTACGATCAAGATGTGCGTATATATAAATTTGTGTTTGTTTTAAGGTAATTTTTATAATTGACTTTCTCTCGAAGTTATTATTATTATTGAGAGGTAGCGACCTTGACCCCGAGCTATGCAAATCTGTGCGGAGAGTCTCGTGTGAACGGGATGTTCCCTGTCTTTGTGGAGTCGGTCGGATATCCTGGTGGGTACCTGTGTGACCCCATTCTCTCCGGCCGCCGTCCATACTACCAACCTCTCTGTGTGTTACATCATCTTCGCACTGATCAACACCAGCGAATGAAACTAGACTCTGGCACTTTGCAAGTTTAAAGTCAGATTGCTTATACCCATATAGATATGTGTAGAGCGCTTAGAGTGTAATTAATCAGTCGCTTAGAATTTGTGTATAGGAAACAACAGGAAACTACCAGACTTTCCTTCCTTGTTTGGTGGATTGACTTTCCCACTGTCAACAGGATTCGCTTACAGTAGCACTTTATAGTGAAGAAAGAATATATTGGGTTGGGTCATCAGATACATTTCAACATTTTGAAGGGTGAGAGAGGCCTAATTAGCAGGCTAGAATAAAATGAGGAAACGCCTATTCACAGAAATAGCACAAACACGTATTTGCAATCTCTAAAATACTCCATTTGCATCATCCCACTGCAAATTACTTTCCTAGTTTGTGTATCCATATCACTACATTATCACGAGAGTTCATGGTGACTATTCACATGTATTTTCTGTACTATTAGTTGTGATATCCGTACAATTGAAAACTGATGACTTCCATTGCTGAAAAAAGATAGCCTGACGTTATTGCATCTTCCCGATTGTAGATGGGGCAAGTTGAAGAGCCTGCACGATGCTAGGTATCAAGAATTAAATCTCTGTGAAGCTTTCTGAATTCTAAAAACTTTATGATAGAGAGCAGACAATATAGGCTCTTTCAATATAGCGACTTTCTCTGGGTTTGTAGCAGCAAGACAATTCAACAATAGATAACGTAACACTTTCATTCAACAACTCTCGTGTAAACGTTGACAACAAGAGACTTCACTTGTATCCTCCAATTTCTCTTCAACATTCGAGTCTACCGACAGACAGAGATAAAACAAGAGAGGTTCCTGGAGCGACCACCCGGATTCACTGAAGCAAATCATCTAGTATACGAGGACAGAAATTTCAATATATTATGTAGGCATGTGTGTAAATGAATTTTTCCGACCTACTTTGTTTGAATTAATAAATATTCACTTTTTTTAATGGGGTTCTTAGAATCTGAGAGATTTTATGCAGAGCTCTGAATTATTTTTATTCCTACTTTTTATTTATTTTAAACTTTGTCGCTAAAGATACACGTCCAAAAATATTCGAAAATAGGAGGACCTAAGGAAGAACACATGGAGCACAAAACAAGCATGATACACAATCACTATGGAAATAGAGAGTACAGACATGGATCACACATAAAGTACTTTTAAAGGCATGTAGAAAAAGAAGCGTGAAACGCGCACTAGATGAATATAGAACATAAGGTATGAAGCACACACACGAGACAGGTGAAATATCATCAAAAATTGCCCCATGGAAGATTCACATTGGCTGCAATATTGTTATTGCGAAAATAAGGGTACGAGATGTAAATATTTTGTACAGTTAGAGCACAGTGAAGACATCTTAGCCCTATTGTACAGTTGTAGCACAAGATAGACTTGTTAGTTCTATCGTACAGTTAGGGAACAGGAAAGAGACGTATAGTACAGTTAAAACACATAATGTAAATCAGTCAAGTACTGCTGCAGAGTACACACACACAGCAGGTAGAGCTACTGGTACATCCGGGGGGAGAGCCACCTGTTGGGGGCCAGGACATCCGGTGGCCACAACTCTCCCTTAACTCCTTCGGCCGACATTTGGTCTCCGAGAACATTTATACTGGGATGGGTGAATACATTCCTAGAACTACGGACAACTTTGGTTGCTTTCTAGGCCGACTATAGCACAGCAATTTTAGATATCGGAGTCTTCTTCTTCTTTCTTATCTCCACTCAATCACACTAAGGTATCATGATGGTGTCTGCCGGGGAAGAGTAGAGCTCATCAATAGATGAGTCAATACAGTCAATATTATGTCTTGGGGTTGCAAGCTGAGAATTGCACTTAGTACATAGTGGGAAAACCCTGCACCCATCAAAGACTGTTGTTCTAGATATCGGAGTTATTTGCTGAATTGCGCAATAAATTTGAAAAATGTTTTTAAAGTTTTTTTTTTTTTTTTGCCAATATTTTTGTGAAACTATTCGCATTTTCCTAAATATTCAGTAGGCATTGTGGCTCCTTAGACTAGTAACTAAGTGTTTGTCCATCATATCTATATAGAGGTGATTTCACTCAAATCAATATGTTAGAATAGATATCTAGACTGCGCCCTTTTCTGCAGCCAAAATGATGATCATAGCAGTCTTGTTAATCTAAAGTCTCCTGACTGAAATATCCTATACCATTAAACAAACTATTCTTTGTTCGGGTTCTCGAAAACAGCTCTAAGCCTTGTTAATCTAAAGTCTCTTGACTGAAATATCCTATACCATTAAACAAGCTATTCTTTGTTCGGGTTCTCGAAAACAGCTCTAAGCCTTGTTAATCTAAAGTCTCCTGACTGAAATATCCTATACCATTAAACAAGCTATTCTTTGTTCGGGTTCTCGAAAACAGCTCTAAGCCTTGTTAATCTAAATTCTCCTGACTGAAATATCCTATACCATTAAACAAGCTATTCTTTGTTCGGGTTCTCGAAAACAGCTCTAAGTCTTGTTAATCTAAAGTCTCCTGACTGAAATATCCTATACCATTAAACAAGCTATTCTTTGTTCGGGTTCTCGAAAACAGCTCTAAGTCTTGTTAATCTAAAGTCTCCTGACTGAAATATCCTATACCATTAAACAAGTTATTCTTTGTTCGGGTTCTCGAAAACAGCTCTAAGTCTTGTTAATCTAAAGTCTCCTGACTGAAATATCCTATACCATTAAACAAACTATTCTTTGTTCGGGTTCTCGAAAACAGCTCTAACACGATTCCGATTTTCTAAATAGGAATTATTTAGGTTGGTAAATTCATCAAGATAGGTAATGTCTCCGGCAAAATTAGTTTACACTGGTCGATTTGTCGTACATCTTT